GGGCGGCCCGCCCGAACCGCTAGCGGGGAAGGGGCGCCCGCGAGTGGGCGGGAAAGGAGGTCGTGCGGAACCTCACCTGGGGCAGAGCCGAGAGCGGACTTCATTTGGGGGGAGTCGGGGTGGCCCTTTTCTGCAGCCCCCTCCCCACGCGCGCGCGGGAACCGCGAGTTACGCCACAGTCGGGGCCGCGCATCACTCCAGTGTCGGTTTCATTTCAGCCCCCTCTGCTGCGTTTATTTTTACCGAAACCACTTTCATTTCCTTTTTTTTTTTAATTACCAGAGGCCCTAAGACCCTAGCTCAGGCGTCCCGCTTCGAATTTAACTTTCCGGTCGTTTTCCATCCTCTCCCAAGTGGGTCTGGGAGGAGGGAAGATTCTGAGGACGAGGGTGTTGCCTGGGTTAACGGAATTGCCATGCAAATCCTCGCACCTACGTGAGGGTAAGCCCGTCTTCGGGAGCTGAAGGTTCCCAAGGCCTGGTAATCGAGCCCACCTGGGCTCCTCTGCCAAACTAAACCTCGTGGAAGGAGCACTCAGACTAGCCTCGGTGGTGATAGCAAGACAGTGTGGCTATGTAGATTTAGGTAAGGCCCAGGTGAATCAACTCCCTCAATCCATACCCTCCCACCCTACCCACAGGGATCTGAATCAGCTCCCTTAACTCTACCCACGGGGAAATTCACAGTGAATTTCCAGGTAAGGCGCGCATAAAACAAAATCCAGGGCGTGTTGAAGGAGGTTGAGTCACAATGGTAGAACAGACCCCAGTGGATATGAAGCAGTGGTTTGTTGTTTAGAAGAGGGCAATAACTGAAGGTTAATCTGCTGACACATGAAGTGTTGACACATTTGACAACGTGCTGATTTGAGAAATTTCATATCAAAGATAATGTAAGTTTGCTGAGTTCACAAATATGTTAGTTTTGTCTCTTTTTGAGATTAGAAACCTTAGGAAGACCAGGATCCTAACCTATATTTGAAAGACAAGTGTCTTGCTTCAGTGCATGTGCTACTGTTCTCTCCCCTTAGGATATAGGAGAACACTTGCACATGGAACACAATAAATGTTACATTGTATTGGCTCTCATCCAAGTGAGTTAAGCATTGGGCTGTTATCCACAGTGGTGGTGGTTGAAACCCACCAGCCCTTTCTCAGATGAGGCTGTCTACGCCCACGTCTATGAACAGTCTTCTGCACAATAGGGTCTTTATGAGTTGCTATTGACAAAATAGCACTGGATTTAGAAAATATTAAGGATCTGAACATTTTCACTCCTCTGCTTCATAATTTTTTTATGATTCTAGCCTATGCTTCAAAATCTTCTGAATGTTTTTGTTGTAAAGTGATAACTGCTTTTTTTTTTTAATTTTTGATCCCCGCCTCAACTGCTTATTTTTATATTATGAACAAAGTCTTCTGTTTTTTGTTTTTTTTAATTGTGATTTTGGAGAAACTTGTATAGCAAATTAAACATGTATATAAAATTTCCTTTAACAATTTTTGACATATTACTCACGGTGATATATTATTCAAGGTGGTACAGTGGGTTAAGTGTTGGGCTGCTAACTACAAGGTTGGCTTTTCAAACCCATCAGCTGCTCCGTGGGAAAAATGAGGCTGTCTGTACCTGTAAAGGTTTGCAGTCTTAGAAAGTACAACCCTAAAGTTCTGTCAGAGGGTCATGGTGATTCAGAATCATCTCAGTCGCAGTGGGCTTGGGTTTATACGTATTACTGAGTGGCGTTGTTTACACTTCCACAATGTGTCATCATTCTCCTTAGTTCTATTCTGATGATCTGTTTCCGGGGAGCTTATGTCTCCCTGGTCAGAACAGTCAGTACTTTTAGCTGGTCACTTCTTAGTTCTTAGAGTCCATCCCATGTGAGGTGTTTCATGTCGACTTCTTAGGCCTGTGGACTAATTTCTTTCGTTGAGTTTTTGTTTCCTCCTGTTTTGCTCCAGACACATAGAAATCGGGAGTTACACCTTAGGTGGCTACTCGCCAGTATTTGAAACCCCAGCAGCTACTCCCCAAACTAAAATGTAGAGCATTGTCTTCATGAACTATGGAAGCCAATAGATAAAGTTGCTCGTGGAGACTATGGTTCTAAGCCCTCAACCCAGTTATCCAGTCCCACAAGTTTTCTATATGTTTTAGAGATTAGACCCTACCAGATAGATCGTTTCCAAAGCTTTTCCCCAGTCTGTTGGCTCTTCTTTTTGTAAAGTTTCTGTTGCGCATGGAGGTACAGTTATCTAACTTGTCTTCTGGTACTCGTGTGTTTGTGGTTGTTTGTAATCGATTACTGGAAAACATTAGGTGACTTGAGTTTCTATTCTAAGAGTGACCAAAAAACCAAACCTACTGCTGTGGTGTCAGTACCAACTCATAGTAGAACTGCTTCCTAGGGTTTCCAAGACCATAAATCTGCAGGAGCAGACAACCTCATCTTTCACCTAGGAATGCTGCTGGGTTCCAACTGCTGACTTTGTGGTTAGCAGCCCAACAGATAACCCACTATGCCTTCAGGACCGAGTAATTTCATCCCAAAGTTTTAATAAGCCTAATTATGTGTTTCTAAAAAACGAATTCCTTATATTTCTGCTTATGTATTGATGCTAATATGCATAATCTGTACCATGATTTCCTAGGACATGTATTATAACTCTTGTTTTTTTTAATCTTTAGAGGATGATCCATTTCCCCAATCTGTCTCAAGCCAACCAGTCTCAAAGAAAACTGTCAGAACAGAAGAAATTCCAGGTAAGAGTAAAGTTTTTGGCTTTCTCCTTAATTGCCTTTCTTAATTTTATGTGCAGAATCACAAAGGTCTCAAAGCACAACCTTATTTAGAGTTTCATTGAATCTTTTCTACATTCAGGCCATTGAGTCAATTCTGACCCATGGCAACCATATAGGACAGGGTAGAACTGCCCCTGGGGGTTTCCAAGACTGCAACTCTTTATAGGAGTAGAAAGCCCCATCTTTCCCTCGAAAGCATCTCTATAAGTTCATTGAATTTAAAAATACAGAAGTTTGTGGCGGATAGGTGGTTGCCTGCTAAACTAATTGATCTGAACCCTACAGGATAGATATTCCCACTTCATAGGTATGAAAGCTAGAGCTCAGAGTGATTTTGCTAAGAGCACTTGATAGATGGCTGAGCCAAAATTCAGACCCAGGTTTTCTTTTCCAAAGCCCTTTCATTTTCGTCAAGGACCTCACTTTCATGCTTCTGTGTAATCATTGGCTACTCATTTATGTTTGCTAAGTGTTGAATGTGTGAATGTACCACACTGCTCTCCATTCAAAGTGTATGAAATTTAAAACCATGATATAGTCAGTCTTGTCAGCTTCATGTTATATACACTCTTAAGATGCCATCAGATGTAAGCTACACTAGCATTATTTTATTTACCACCTAGAAGAAAACAGTGCTGTCGTTTAAATTATAGTGTGCTGTAGTTTATAAGACACATAAGGAGCTCTGGTGGCACAATGCCTAAACCAGGGGTCCTCAAACTTTGTAAACGGGGCCAGTTCACTGTCCCTCACACCTGTTAGAGGGCCGGACTATAGTTTAAAAAAAAAAAAAAAAACTATGAACAAATTCCTATGCACACTGCACATACCTTTATTTTGAAGTTAAAAAACAAAACAAAACAGGCAAAAATACTCAGCGGGCTATATGTGGCCCGTGGGCCGTAGCTTGAGGACCCCTGCTAAACACTCAGCTGTTAAGCAAAAGGTTAGCAGTTTGAGCTCGCCAGCTGCACTGCAGGGAAAAAATGGGGCAGCCAGCTTCCATAAAGACTTCCTAGCCTTGTAAACCCTATGGGCAGTTCTGCTCTGTTTTAAAGGGTTACTTTAATGTTAAAGTGTCCCCCAAAGTTTGCATTTTAGAATCAATGAAACATGGGAATAGACCACATTTAATAGTCTGTTTAAGTTATAAAAACTGTTTAAAATGCTTTCAAAAGCAGGGAAAGGATAACATTCGGCTAAATTATGCTTAGTATCCTTTGTTGTTGTTGTTTTTTAATCTCATTTTCTTTTTGGTTTTAGGAAAGTGTCCTACAGTACCACCACAATAAGTGATTCTAGTTAATGAAATTAATCATCTAGAGGGTTTTGTTTTTGTTTTTTAAGTTTGGTTAGTTGGTTGCTTTTACTTAAGTCTCAACTTATTTTCTTATCCATTCTTCCCAATAAGATATGCTTTCTATATTTAACATTTTTCCAATTTAGAGTAAAGTATATCTGGCTCAAGTTTGATTCCAAATAAATAGCACACCTTCATGTTTAATTCCCTAAAAAGCCTGTGTTACTATGTTAAGACTGTAAACTATTTTAGTAAAATGCTTTGGTAATGAGTGCTACAATCAGATTTTCAGGACATTTGGAAAAACCATAATCTTGGCATTTTACTTAGAATAGATTTCATTGTATGCCTCGCACCTCAAGAAACAAAACTAATTTTCAAGATCTTGATTATATAAAATAAGATTTACATGAAAATTCTCACTCTCACTTCCACTGAGTCAGTTCTGACTTCTGTAGGACACGGTAAACTACTACCCCTTTGGGTTTCTAAGACTTTAAATTTTTATGAAAGCAAACAGCCTCATCTTTCTCCCTCAGAGTAGCTGGTGCATTCGAACTGCTAACTTGTGGTTAGCAGGTCAGTGTGTAGCCCACTAAACTACCAGGGCTCCTTAAATAAAAACGAGGAACCCTTGCATACTATTTTTAAAAGTTAAAATAATGAAGACAGTACCATTATAAAACTATGGTGTAGTAGAATGCCAGGTGCAATCTTCTGGAGTTCCAGCTAAGCGCTGCTTACAAGATACATGATTGCATAATGTTATAGAAACAGCACTGAACTTTGACAAGTCCCTTTCCCATCTCTGAGCTTCAGATCCTTCATGTGATCTGCACTTCCTAATTCACTACAAGTATGAAAGGATCTATGCAAAGTTACTTTGTAAACTGTAAAGTGTACAGATACAAGGTATTCTTTTCTCATGACATTGTACTAGAGAGTACATATTCTCCAGCCTGCTTATTAGATGCACAATAAGGTGTTCATTTAGTATTTTTTTGTGCAAATGAATGCATATCCTTTCAAGATGACTGTTCTAGGTACTGGAGTTGGCTACATCAGTTTTATAAAAGCATACGTAAGCTGCTAATGTCATGGAGTAAGCCACTGGTAGCCAGTCCAAATTGTTGTTTGCATTCTCAGGCAGACCCAAAGCATAAGACTTTTGTTATATAGATGGATGAAACAAAACATAAGTTCATCTAAATTGAATATATATTTTGGCTTTTGGAATATGTATGGAGCTCTTTGAGAAAGTATACATTAATATTTGCATGTCTTGAATACATAAGATTAAACAGTTTGCATGTCTTGAATACATAAGATTAAACAGCTGCAGGGAAGAAGTACCAGGCGGCTTCAAAATGTTTGTAGAAAAATGGAATTGAAAGATCGTATAATTCTGCCACAAATACTTTGAAGTTCCCATAGGGTATTAACTTTCAAGAAGTTAGCCCTAAAATTAAAATATATACCATTAATAATCTATGATGTTAAGACACAAAGGAACATAGAAAATTGTGGTGGTGCTATGTTAGAGATTTTGATTTTTAATTCAGAAATTAAAGAGTTTTATTTGAAGTATTCTTGTATACAAATATTGTCAGCTAAGAAAAATTATAAATTTTTCCAAACAGACTATAAGTATTATATGTCTCTTATTCACTATTGTATAATCACACCTACTTTAATGCAATGCTTAGTAAACCTTTATTGTATAAAGAGATGAATGTATAATAAGCATATACATTTACTATTTTATATTAAACGTTTTCTTTTTCTAATATTAGTGGAGAGTGAAGACCTTCCAAGGAGCCTGCATAGACCCCCTCTCAGAAACTCAAGATCTGGTAAGAGATAGTTTTGCATTTTGGTTCAATGCTTTCATAAATATAAATTTATTTTAAAATAAGATATTACATGTGTTCATATGGTCCAGAATTCAAAAAGTACTGTAACTGTAAGGTGGATCGTTTTTTCTGCCATCTATTCATGCCACCCAGCCTAAAAAAAAAAATCCTCACTACCATTAAGTTAATTCTGACTCAGAATGACCCTACAGGACAGGGTAGAACCTGCTCCTGGGGTTTTCAAGATTGTACATCTTTACGATGGTAGAAAGCCTCTTCTTTCTTCTGAGAAGCAGCTGACCAATCCAATGTGTGTGATCCAACTCAGCGCATAAACAGGGCTCCCTCCCACCCAGTTTCCTCACAGGCATCCAGTGTTGTCCAGGTCTAAAGTCTTTTTCCAGAGCTATAGTTGGTGATATTGAGAAATTCACGTATACATCTTTTCATCGCTTTTTAAACATAAATTTCAGCATGATACTCTTCTCACCTGCTTATTTTTTGTTTATTTGATTGTTTAATGTTTACGTAGCATAAATTGGAAGACCTTTCTATCCTCAAAAGGACTTTCCACTTCATAAAAGCCTTCCTCATTCAATTTAAGAAATTATTACTGAGGTGTTAGAAAACTATAGTTCTTTTTGTTAGTTTGACAGTTCTTTTGTTACTTGTTACTAGTATATACTAAGGTCGGAAACGTTTTATCCTTTGCAATATAATGCTAATAAAAAAATTCAAGAATGAGGATTTGTGACTCAAGGCTATAAAATTACAGGGTGGGGGTGGGGTGAGGAGGGAGAGGCGCACTTAAAACCTTAGAAAGTATTGCCCTTAGATTCATTTCATAGCTATAGAGAAACACTTTTGTAAGTTTTCATGTGTGTACTTCCTCTTTATTTTCAATGTTTAATTGGCCCCTAAGAATGCGATTGGAAATAGAGAAGAATTTGGTTCCCCTTAGGACCAGATTTTAACATTGGTAAAGCGGGACACCATTGATTAAACTCATATCCTGGCGAAATAGCCACATGGCAGCCGAAAAAAATGTATACCCTAGCGTGTCGTGCAAAAAAATCGGGACTGTCCCACCAAAAGCGGGATGTCTGGTCACCGTAAGTTAAGATGGTTTTTAAAATAGTTGACTACTCTTTTTAAGTCTACCAGTGATAAAATCTGTTGCGATTGTGATGTACATCTTGTGGTCAGAACCATATGATGCATTTCCTTTTCAGCTCTAATCATCTTCTTACTGTCTTACAGATTCATCATACAACACAAATGGAAATTCTAAAATGAGTGAATTAGGTTGGTTTTCTATCATTCTTACAGGTTCTCTTGAGGAGTCTAATTATCAGTAGAAAGAAAAACACATATTTGTGTCATAGACTTGAGACTATTACTTCGTTAATATCTCAGCACATGGAACATTGTCCATATGGCATGACCTTTGTTTAGAACCTTTTGTTTTTATTATTTCTGAAATTATTTCTTAATTTATGTATGTGCTTAAATTCTTTTTTTTTAATGTCCTGTCACTTCTGACTCATAAATTACTGTTAAGACAGAACTGCCCCAGGAGTTTTCCAAGACTGACTGCCACAACTTTCTCCCTCAGAATCAAACCATTTATCATTTGGTTGGTGGCCAAATATTTAATCACTGCACCACCAGGAATCTTTTACAAGTCATATCAGGGACATGCAATAACAAATGCATTGTCATTTTTGTTAGCCTTCGTTAAATTCACACTACTAACAAGAAAAATAATAGCTTACCAATTAAAGTTCTTTTTCTTTACTTACAAAATTAGTTTTGAGATGCTGTTTGTAGGCACTTTGGTGTCCTTTGCTAGGTTTGTTGAACTGGATTAAATACTTTTCAATATCTTCTTTGGTATATAGGGCGTGAGCTACCAAGATCTGTGGTCTTAACTGAATCAACATTAATTGGACTTGATTTTTTTTTTGTTGAAGTGGCAGGTTTTTTCTAAATTAGTAGAAGGTTCACAAAGAGTAAAGAAACTTAAAAAAAAAAAAGGTAATCACCAATTTCCTTTTTAAAAAGTTGCAACTTCCTCTATGAAATTGATCTCTCACTTTAGTTCAGATCAGTTTCTTTAGAGATTTCAGCATTTATATTGAGGGCTGAAAACAAATTTTGTGATCTGCAGCTTATGTGTTGTTTTACCTAACAGTTTCTCATGTGAGCTATTTAAGGCTTTTTTTAGAACAGTATGTTTTCAGATCATAGGTTATTAATTAGAAGATAATTTAGACTGTATCATAAGATTATTAGAGCTGAAATGATGAAATATTCTTGCCTATACTACTTAGAAATTATTTTGTGTATACTTTATAGCAACTTTAAAAAAAATCATTTTATTGGGGACTCATACAACTCTTATCACAATCCATACATACATCAATTGTGTAAAGCACATTTGTACATTTGTTGCCCTCATCATTCTCAAAACATTCGCTCTCCACTTAAGCCCTTGGCATCAGCTCATTTTCCCCCCTCCCTCCCTGCTCCCCTCTTCCTCATGAACCCTTGATAATTTATAAATTATTATTTTGTCATATCTTACACTGTCCGATGTCTCCTTTCACCCACTTTTCTGTTGTATGTCCCCCAGGGAGGAGGTCACATGTAGATCCTTGTAATCGGTTCCCCCTTTCCACCCCACCCTCCACTCTTCCTGTATCACCACTCTCAGCACTGGTCCTGCAGGGATCATCTGTCCTGGATTCCCTGTGTTTCCAGTTCCTATCTGTACCAGTGTACATCCTATGGTCTAGCCAGATTTGTAAGGTAGAATTGGAATTATGATAGTGGAGGGGGAGGAAGCATTTAGGAACTAGAGGAAAGTTGTTATGTTTCATCGTTGCTACACTGCACCCTGACTGGCCTGTCTCCTCTCCTCCTCATGACCATTCTGGAAGGGGATGTCTAATTGTCACTAGATGGGGTTTGGGTCTCCACTCCACACTCCCCCTCATCAAAAATGATACGATTTTTTGTTCTTTGATACCTGATCCCTTCGACACCTTGTCATCACACATGCTGGTGTGCTTCTTCCGTGTGGGCTTTGTTGCTTCTGAGCTAGATGGCCATTTGTTTACCTTCAATCCTTTAAGACCCCAGGTGCTATATATTTTGATAGCTGGGCACTATCACCTTTCTTCACCACATTTGCTTATGCACCCATTGGTATTCAGTGATCATATTGGGAAGGTGAGCTTCATGGAATGCCTGTTTAATAGAACAAAGTGTTCTTGCTTTGAGGGAGTACTTGAGTGGAGGCCCAATGTCCATCTGTTACCTTAATACTAAACCTATAAATATGTGCACATAGATCTATTTCCCCATCCTCATTTTTAAATATATTTATATATGTACATGCCTTTATTTAGGCCTCTATAAATGCCCTTTGCCTCCTAGCTCTTTCCTCTATTTCCTTTTACTTTGCTTTTGTCCCACTATCATGCTCGGTCGTCATTTGGGTTTCAGTAATTCCTCTGGGTTACATTACCCTTGACCACGCCCTACCAGGTCTCCTACACCCTCCTCACCACCAATTTGGATCACTTGTTGTTCCCTTGCCCCTGGGTTCATTAACACCACTTCCTTTCCTCCCACCTCCCCCTCTCCCCTGTGCCCCCGGAACTGTGGGTCCCGTTGTTTTCTCCAGATTGTTCATCCAGCCTATCTTAATTCTACAGACCTGCGGATCTTTACATTTTTAAATAAAGAGTTGTAAAAAACTTTACCTATGTGGCCCACAGAGTTTTAAATACATAACAATTTGAACCTTTATGGGAGAAGTTTGCCAATCCCTGATCCTTATCACCATTAGGAATGAAGAAACAAGAAAACAGATGAAATCCCACATTTAATGAGCCCTGTATTCTATCCATCTTCTCTTTGAGACAGCATTCTAGTCATTTATACCCATATTTTTGTCTCCAGTCAAAACAGGAATAATCCATTTTCTTTTATCGTCTTCATTCTTCATAACTAGCACAATCCCAAAACCAAATCCACTGCACATCAAATCAATTACAACTCATAGCTACCCTAGATAGGGTTTCTGAGCCTATAAATCTTTATGGGGCCAGATTGCCTCAGCTTTCTCCCACCTACTGGCTAGTGAGTTGAACTGACATTGCAACAGTCTTTTTTCTGCTTGAGCAAGAGAAACTAGAAGGGCATTCTGCCTAAGCATCCTACATTAAAACTACCTTTTTAAGAACAAAATGGCATTATTGGCAATTTCCTGAGTGTTAGTTTTTTCCTAGCAAAAAAATGTTGGAACTGTGTTTCAGGTAGACTTGGCACTACCAAAGAGGTGCATTTTTACTGGAGCCCCTTTGAGCAGTAATATCACTAAACTGATTTGACAAAAATAAAATCTCCAAATTTACCATGTGTTGACAGTTGCCTTCCATGTTGGCTTTTCAGTTTAAAACATGAGTAGAGCTTAAAATCAAAGCAGTAAAAGCTGACAAGAAAAAAATAAATCACCTTTCTTTAAGGAGTCTGATGTGTGCTACTTTTTTGCTTTTGATTATTTACATATCTTAACCCAGTTAAGCAATCCAATGTGTTGAATGGATCTCCTCTAATGAATCTTTTAAGAAAGTTTCAGGATAGTCAGTCTATTTAAAACACTGTATTTAAGTATGCATTTGCAACTTAACAGACCAACAACCCAATCAAAGCATGATCATGATAGTTTACCAAAGAGCACATTCAAATGCCTGACAAACACGTGAAAAGATGCTCAGCATTATTAGCCATTAGGATGATATAAATGAAAACCAACATGAGATATCACCTGATATCCATTACAATAACAATTGTTTCACTTTTTCTTTTTTGATTTTCCAAGTCTTTAAAAAAATTTAATTTTTTTATCATTTTATTGGGGGCTCATATAACTCTTAACACAATCCATACATACATCAATTGTATAAGGCACATTTGTACATTCGTTGCACTCATCATTCTCAAAACATTTGCTCTCCATGTAAGCCCCTGGCATCAGCTCATTTTTCCCCCTCCCTCCCCGCTGCCCTTCCCTCATGAACCCTTGATAATTTATAAATTATTATTTTGTCATATCTTACACTGTCCAACGTCTCCCTTCACCTACTTTACTGTTGTTCATCCCCCAGGGAGGAGGTTATATGTCATCCCTGTAATCGGTTCTCCCTTTCTACCCCATTTCATTTTTTCTTAGTGGAGATCAAGAAATGTTAATGAGATTGTGGAGAAACTAGAACCTTCTTCCAATGCTGGTGGCAATGTAAAATGATGGAGCTGTTGTGCAAAACATTTTGATGATTCCTCAAAAAGTTAATTTTTGTGACCCATGGGACATGTATCACCCACCAACATTTTCAGCCTCAGGTTTCTTAGGAAGTTCTCTGTTTTAGTTGAAGTGCATATTACCACGTGGTGGGGATTTCTATAAATACATGAATCTGAAGAAATTAGTTTCACCCCACAAGAGTTCACTTGGGACATAATGTGGCCCGTATAATTGTATCAAAATCCACAAGTGAAGTCTTCACAGGGTTCATAAAAGATGCATAGTATGTAAAAACTATGCATGGATTCCTTTATTTTTTACCAAGGTAAACTTTTACTAACTTGTTATAACATCCGAACAGACTCTTCAGTCTGAAGTACTGAAAAGAGTAAGAAAACAGTTTGTAAAGAACGCCCATTAAAAGTACCATGAATTCTGTTAAAATTGAAGTAATTATAAACATCAGATTTATGGTGAAACTTATGTGGAAGAATGGTGAGATTGATGATACGAAGAAAAGTTTATGGGAACAATGCTCCAAAGAAACTGAAAATTTACAAATGAGTAACTTGATTTAAGAAGGGATGAGATGTGGGGGCAGGGAATATTTTATAAATTATCAAGGGTTCATGAGGGAGGAGTGGCTACATGAGCTGATAACAAGGGCTCAAGTAGAGAATGTTTTGAAAATGTACAAATGTGCTTGACACGATGGATGCATGGATTGTGATAAAAGCTGTAAGGACCCCCAATAAAATGGCTAATTCAATTTTTAAAAAATACTTTTTTTTGAAAAAGGGATGAGATGAAAGATGAAGCCTGCAGTAGCAAACAATTGACATTAAATTGTAGGGGGAAAGGTAAGCTTTTTATGCCCTAATTGAAGAGGACCGATGACTGATTGCAGAAACAATAACCAGTACCATAGACATCTCAAATGGTTCAGTTTAAACATTTCTGATAGAAAAAGTTGAGCATTCTGCTGAATAGCTGCCAAAACTCTTATGCCCAGATTAGCTGCAAACAAAAGCAGAGCTTTCGATAGAAATTTAAACAAGTGAGGTCTATATTCTGAAGCATTTCTTGAAAGAATATATAATAGCATATGAACTGTGGCTTTACCAGTGTGATCTTGAAGTTAAAGCAGTACCCACCATAGACAAGGAGGTGGCCAGTCAGAACAAAAGCAGGCTAGTCAGGAGCAGATCATGGCAGTAGGTTTTTGTTTTTGATGTTCATGGCGTTTTGTGCAGATTCTGTTCAAGAAGAAGCAGTGATATGGGGAAACCAGCTGTAACTAGAAAGAAGCTTTCTTTCCCTCTCGGGAGTCCTTGGATGCACCAGTGCACTAATAGGACTGGTTCATCCATTCTACTGGTGGGGTAGGGTTATCAAGGAAATGTAAAGAATCTAGCAAATAGCAAAATGAGAATAGAAATTAAAGCCATAGAGACTAAAACCTACTAACCCACTGCCATTGAATTGATTTCACCTATGGGAGCAGACAACCCCATCTTTCTCCACAGAGCAGTTGGTGGGTGTGATATACCCACATTGCACTTACTAGACTAATGCATACCTGGGCTGTTTATAAAGATTAGTATGTTTAGTTTTTCTGCATACATAGGTTATTTGTACATAGGTACAAATAGGCTTGTAGCTGAAGACAAATCGCTAATTTAATTTCTGATTGTGATTAATATTATTCCTGAAATAGCCTAAGAAGAAATAGTCTTTAGGACCAGCGGTTCTCAACCTGTGGGTCATAACCCCTTTGGGGGCTGGCGCCCAATTCATAACAGTACCAAAATTACAGGTATGAAGTAGAAACAAAAATAGGTTTATTGTTGGAGGGCTCACCACAACATGAGGAACTGTATTAAAGGGTCGCAGCATTAGGAAGGTTGAGAACCACTGCTTTAGGACTAACATTTAAAAAAAAAAAAGCCTATATAATGTCTTTATATTTCCTTTTCCATATTAGATAATTTATTCCTAGCCTTTAGCTTTTATTATAGACATTTATGCTTTTCTCTTTTAGAAACCACTAAAGTTGTCCAACCGGAGGTCAATTTCTCTGAAGAAGGTAAAATATATAGCTATCATTTTTTTGTAAAATATTTTTAAGTCATGTAATTATAAATATTTTTCTTATTAAAGTAATTTTTCAAATTTAAAGTGTTTTGTGAAGTCGGTGAAAGGTTACAGAACAGATGATCAGTTTTACCTTCAACGATTCTTACACATTTTGTTTCAACTCATTCATTGCAATCCCCTCAATGTGACATCACTGACCTTAGTTCCTGTTCCCTGTTTCTATTTCACTGCCTTTCCTAATCCATCTGAACTTTGTCCTTAAGTATATTGTGACCTTGGCTCTGAAATGGTTGTTGTAAATTGTGTATTTGTCACCGGTATTTGTTGTTCCCCTTACAGACGTGTTAACTATTTGGCTGAACATTGAGCTATAAGGATAGCTTCTAGACCTAACATGAGTAAGAGTAGTGGTCTTTTTCCTTCTTCTCTCTTCACTTTTTATTGTGAAGTAGCTGATGGTTGGCAGAACAGCATAGTTTTACATTGAACATTCTGATTCAGCTTACCCATTGCAACTCCCTCAATGTACCGTTGTTCATCCCACCTCTTTCGTGTATTTCTTGTTTCCATTATTCCATCTTTCCTAACCCTCAGAATTTGTCCTTGGGTAAATGCTGCCCTTTTGATCTTAAATGCTTGATATTCTAACAGTTGAGTTCAGTTTCAGACCTCAAAGGTGACTACTAAAAACCCATAGTCTTATGGGGCCCACCAGTTAACCTGGTCCTTTTTATGATTTAGAATTTTGTTCCATATTTTTCTTCCAGGACTTTCTAATGTCGTCCCTTTCAGAGCAGTTGGTAGTGGTAGTCAGATACCATCTATTTCTTCTAGTCTCAGGTTGTGGAGATCACCAATCTATTTTGGGCTTGTACAGCAGAATTTAGGCTATTTTGAAGATGAGCATAGTTTGAGATTATTCACCTAAAGACTGAAATGTGTGAAGCATTCATGCCTTCACTGATCTTGCTGAATTTAATTGTACAACTATAAACAGTCCCCTGCCCTCTCTGTCCTGTCCCCGTCCATGTCCCCTGCCCCTGAGGTAAAAATTTCCCAATATTTATTGGTTTTTTAGTATATTGAAGCTGAATATAGTTTTTAAGATAGTCTTTTTTATTATTTATTTATTTAATCAAGTTATTGGAGGCTCGTACATCTCTTATCACATTCCATACATTGTGTCAAGCACATTTGAATATTTGTTGCCATCATCATTCTCAAAACATTTGTTTTCTACTTGAGCCCTTGGTGTCAGCTCATTTTCCCCCTCCCTCCCTGCTCCCCACTCCCTCGTGAACCCTTGATAATTTATAAATTATTATTTTGTCATATCTTACACCGTC